ACCCAGAGATTTCGGGGGGTTTGGGGTTTCATGCAACCTGCTGCCCTGCAGATGAATCATATCAGGACAAAAATCATATCATTCCCAGAATTTTGTAACCTCGATGGGTGTGTAGTTTCCCTTTGGCTCCTCTCAACAGTTGACTACACTCAAAAATTAACAACCCACTTTTCAATTATTTTTTCCTTTTCTATCCAGACCCAGGCTGGGATCCGCATGTCCCTTTAATAGGTGTGCCACAGCAATATGCCAGAGACCAGAGTTCCCCATTTTCTAGTAAAAAAACCCTCCACCAAATAGCCAAACATCTAAACCCCAACAGACTTCTTCCTGCTAGCCAGAAAACCTCCTCTCAGGGCACTGCAAAGGTTTAATTTACTATCAATTGCCCTCTGGTTATTTTACATTTATTGGGTGGGGGCTGAAGAAAGGAAGAAAGCAGGGCAAGGGTGTAATTAGCTTTGCTTGTAAAATGTTCATCCCAGTTGTAATAGCAACTGGAGCCTACTGAGGGCTTAATAGATTTCAGGGTTTTGTGCCTTGCGAGTGCTGAAGTGTCTGTGTGGGGTGGGGGGAATAAAAAAAGGGGGGAAAAAAAAAATATTAAAAAAATCAGTAAGTGGATCCTACTTCTTGCCACAACCCCATATGGAAGTAATCAAGCACAAGGGTGGCAGCTGGGGCCAATAACAGTCACCTGCAGTTGAGGGACATGGGGGTTTCGGATGGGTTTTTAATGCTAATTTCCTGGAGAAACAATGAGGGAGCGGGCGCAGAGCAGCAGCCGAGGGCGGATGAATAGGGACCAGCCGGAACAATGGCTGCACCTGGTGCCGGAGCAGCGGCACAGAGCCGGCACGCGGCAACAGCGCACAGCACATCTGTTCCCCGCACAATACCCCACTCCCCCCAGTGCTCCACCAGCATCCTAAGTAATACCCGTCTTTAAACGTTCACAGCTTGCCGCAGAGCAACAGGTCTGAGCTGTTTCGGGGCTGCAGTGTGCTGCTCCTCCTCCTCCCCTTGTTTGGGGCAAGCTCAGTGATGATTATCAATACTTTTGAGGCTTTCTTGGGTTTTTTTTTGTGAAAGAGATGCCTTTGAAAGGGATGGCTACACAGCATCCCACCATCGGGGTGTGGCATCCTGTTGCTGGAAGGAAAACTTGACTCCTTGCTTTGTAGTTTCCATAGGACCAGCAAGCAACTGAGCAGCAGATCTGCAACAGTCCTGGTTCTTCCAAATAGTCCTCTGGCCACCTGCAACTGTCCTCCTTCAATAGCACAAGTCCTGCTGCAGGGACGAAAGACAGGAGTCCTACAGCCGGGAGCGCGCCAAGGAAATTCAATACTTGTTATTCTAAAACCTTAAGCTTGGCTTATAAGAATGCCACTGTCCAGCCCAATAAAAAGGCGCAATAGTTACACTTTAAAATGCTTTGAAACCTCTGAAATCGCTATTGTCCTTTCGGACATAAGCTGCCAACACACAAAGCAGCACTAAGGTCAAGGTCTTGCCTCAGAAAATTGCTTGCAGACCCAGGAACTGAACCCAAGCCTCTAGGTACTCCACTTCAACTGCGGGATTGTCGCTCGCCAGTTCTTCCCAGCTCCCGCTTTTGCTCTAAACAAAGGTTTTTCCAGCTGTTCCCTGAACGCCACATGAATTAAGACAGTCTCCATCATAAAAATAAAAGTTGAACAGGCTCCCAGAGACCTGCAGTGATGCTGCCCTCAGGGACCACTCTGGAGTGTCTGTCGAAACACATTTCATACCCAGCTTCTAACAAGCAATTGGATATGGAAATAGTCACTAGATGCTAAAGGCAAGCTTACAGTCTAGCCCAGAACAAGTGTAGATAAGCCAATCCTTATTATGGGAAAAAACCCAATAGGCAACAGATTACAACCATCTCCCGATCAGATTTAAGAACTAGCCAGCACTGCCTTAAATCTGCTACATATGCCCAAGTCCTCAAACGACTTCATTCAGCTATCCAGCTATACTATAAACAGTGCACATGCACATCAAACAAATCTCAGTTTTTGTCCAAATCCTGAAAAAACAAGAGGCCACCTGGCTCGCCCATCCCAGCACACAATCGTGTGAGAGTGCTGCCTCCTGCAAAATGCTGCTAATGGTTACTGCATTTATGGGTCAATTTGTGGACCAGAGAGCTGGCTGCTTTGAAAACTCAGCTCCTGAAGTCAAATCACACTTTCTCCCTCTTGCCTGCTGTCCCCCAGTGATAACCTCTACAAGCCAAAATCCACTGTGAGTGATGCACAACAAAGACCTGTAAAGCAGAAGTAAAATAATTTGGGACTCCCATTTAATCTGACATACAAGGTAGCATTAAGAAGTCAAACCCCGCTCTCTCTGAGACACCAGTATTGTAAGACTAAGAGGAAGAAAACTGAAGGAAAAAAAAACCCAAAAGCCTGACCCATGGTTCATGTAAGAAAAGGTCCCTTTGCTTTTGGCTTCAGCAGGTTTAAACAAGCCTCTGCAAAAGCCAGCAGATGCAACTTGCAAAAATAGCAGCATCTTGGAAGTAAGCAGAGGCCGTGGCTCCAGTCCCTGGGCAGAGCAGAACCCGACTTGGCAACACTGTTTTGGCCTTTTCACTATTAAATGGAGTCTCTGCTCTTTTCCTCGGGGCATTCCCTGTGTAACAGACTTCTCAGATTAACAGTTTATTCTCCTTGCCTTTAGCAATTTTGCTCCTTCCTCAGACCCTTCAAATCCTTCACTTGGCTTACTGCACTTTCCTGTTGGCAATATTTCCTCAAACCACCTTTGCTTTACCCCTTTTACCTTATTTCTTAACACTGGCATCTCTTAGTTTTGTATTATTCACAGGTGTCTCTAACCAGTGGATGTGCTGGGGTAGGGGTACCCAGCTGGAGAGAACCCAGAGTCCTTTAGGTGAAGCCTAGGTAGTCCCAAAAATCAGGTGAAACATCTTCATGTTAATTGTGAAAATCGCATTATCCAGAAGATAATTCTGAAAAAAAAAGTCTTCAGTTATAATAATTTTGTAGAAGTGGGGTAGCCCATCCAAGTGGCCACTGGGTTTCAAGCCGTCCCCTTCCCCAAAATACAACTACCGCTCTCACCTAAGCACTCAGCTCCTCAGGCACCCCAAATCCTTCCCCAGAATAAGGGAACCTGAGAAGAAAAAAAGTTTCCTGCAGGGCTTGAGCAAGACACCAGCAAATTAGTTGTTTAATGGCCAAATCATGCTGCCCTGATGCTGGCAAAACTTCCGTTTGCTTAATCAGAGCCCGACCTGCAAAGAGACTGCAGGAGCAGATGCTCCAACACGCTGTGCTGCGTTCACAAACTCGGGAAGTCTTCAGGAGAGCCGCAGCAGCGGAGCACGGCTCTTTGCGTTCAGATATCATCACACTCTGTATGGCTTTGCTGGAGATTTTCTGGTTTTCATTCCTCCTTTGTGCTGGTGCACTTTTGAGACGCTGAAGTCACAGAGCATTTAGGCAGCACATGCTCCTTCTGCCTCCTCTCTGGGGACAGAGAGGGACACATAGGAGGTGCTCAGCATCTCTGTAGAAGCAGACTTATAATATATATTTTTTATATATTATAATGCAGGGATATTATCTCCTGCATGCTGCAAGAGAAGGAAAACCCTAAGGCGGCACATGCAGCCACCAAACTGGACAAGGATGGAGCTGCAGCCCATGCAGCAGCACAGCACCCTGCCAGGGAGCCTGGCCTGGCTGCACCACGCTCTCCCCAGGGAAGCCCTGTCATTTGGCACGCTTAAAACTAACCTGGACAAAGCAACAGCAAAGTGCTCCAAAGGGAACCCTCCTGCACCAGACAGCCTAGCAAAATCCCTCTCTCTTTTTCCAGCTCAATAGCAAATAACCCTCAGCCACATTTTAGCTCCCCAAACTTTGAGTGCTGATTTTGGTGCATGTCCTGTGGCTGGGCACGATTTCTCTGGTACATAAAATGGACTGTGAGCACTGTTGCGCAGAGCCGAGGGCTGCGGGAGGGAGGAAAAGCCAGTAATATTTTGCAGAGCACCCACCCGGGGCAGCAGCTCAGCAAACGCGCAACAGAGGGATCTTTACAACAAGCTCTGGAGGGTTGGAGGAGCAATTTCAACTGCTGACACCTCCCCCCCCCAAAAAAAAGGGGAGGGGGGGAAGTGCAGGTTTAAAATACATACGCAAGATCAGGAGATTACAATGGAATAAGGGAAGATTCAGCAGTCTGCAGCCTGACAGGGAAAATATATAGGGCAGGGAGGTCTGTTCCAATATCACAAAATTGATCAGAGAGATTTAGATGCTGGTAGCATCAGTTGCTGCTCGAGGAACGCAAAGACAAAAAGGGAGCAGCCTCTGCCACAATGCAGAGAAGCACTGAAAACAGAGAAAATTAAGGAAATTTGGGAGTCGATGGAAGAAATCCACCTCTGCAGATTTACCCCCCAGCTTCAGTATCAGCATGCAGAAATGAGAGCAAGGCTAGGCACAGCAGAAAAACATTCTGCTAAAATACACAAAAACCTTCCTGCTTTTCCATTTCCCCAGAAAATGCTGAATCCCAGATTTCTGCTCATGGGGAAAAGGGGGGGGGGAATAAAAATAATAAAAAAAAAAAACCATTCCATGGCAACATAGAGAGCTCTAACGCAGCTCTCCTCAGAGAGTTTAGTATTTTTTCAGCTGCAGAATCCACGCAGGCAGCCGGCTCCTCTATTGAAGTTTTCCCCCAGCAGAGCCACTGCAGTCGACCGGAGGCAGGCTGGGTGGTGAAGCGCTGCGGACGGCGCCGCTCCCACCCTCTTCCTTTACCTGAGCTCAAGGTTGAGGCTCTCCCCAGCCCACCAACAAAACCCACGTCGCTCTTCAAATCTACTTGGCGGCACAGCAGCTAAGCATCCCCCCGAGCATCCCCCCCTGCCCCTGGATATGCTGCGCCCTACCCAGTCCCGTTTAAAAATAGACCCCTCTATTGCTTACCCTAAACAGCAAGGTTGCAACGATCCAGCTGCTGTTGAATACACCTAGTTTCTTTGAAATATAAATAAAAGCGCTCTTCCTCCTCCTCCGCTCGTGATCTTCGAGCACAGCCGGAGCCCAGCCTGCCTTCTCCTTTCATTAGCTGGACATGTGTCAGGTCCTGCACATCTGCGATTTCTCACTGCCTGGAGCCGCCTGTCCGATTCCAGGGAAACACAGATGGATCCCAGATGGGAAGGTCCTGCCAAACAGACCAGCTCTCCACCTTGCCAGAATACCCAGCTTAGAGGCACACACCCTCGGCTCCCTGCCTGCTCCCTGCCTGCGCCGCGCTGCTGCCAGGCTGCTCGCCAGCTGATGTCACCAAGCACACACCTACCAGCGCCTCGCAGCCGGGCTAACATTAACTTGTTAAATACACGTAATTTGTTTATGGCCGGCAATAACAGCGAGACGACGGCGGGGCGGCGAGAGGAAAGGAGGGCTTCGCCGACACAGGCGCTTCCACCGGAGCGACCCTCCCAAAATCGGCTTTGCCTGATGCAGCACTGGGTGTAAATCAGCCTTCGTCTTAGCCCTCTATTTTGAAATCTGGATAAGCTGTTGGGTAAACGAGCGAATTAATTTTCTGAAGGTTTCCCCATGCACGTAAATCTTCCCTGTAAACTCCCCTCCCAGCCCCAGCGCCAGAGTTTGCAGCAGAGCTGGCATGTGTTAGCAATTAGAAGCAACAACAAGATAACAAGATACTGATGTTGCAAGGGTACCAAATGAGGACTGGAAAATTCAAAGGAAGAGCAATTAAATGTGTAACATATTACTCGGATCGAAGAGGAAGTGTTAAAGGAAAATGTAAATCCGAAACATTTTATAGGGCAAGTAAACTCAACCAGGGATCTCACAGCAGCAGGGGAGGCTCATAACAGAAACCCACTGGACACAACTACATTTGGCCATTTTCCCCCCATTAACACACAGACGTGCCAGCTCTGCCACCTACAAACCTCTTGGTAATTTTGAATAGCTGCTCCCCGACGTGTGGTGTGAACAACAGATATTAACTGGAGGCCCCTGACTAATCCCATCAGCCCAGGACCATTCACCGCAAGCGGGGCACTGTGGAAACATGGATTTACACACAGCATTCCTCACCACGCAGACCGGCATCCCTGGCTGCCGCGGTACTGCCTCGGGGAAGGGGCAACCACCCCTCCACTTACTGCCCAAACCATCCTCCTCCATGCCATCCTCCTCCCAGCTCCCATAAAACCGCCCGAGGAGGAGAAGCGACATTTGCATTTTGCTTGCAGACAACGCACAGGCGCATTTTAAGATCTCAGGAGGGATTCGCCACTCCAGTCCATATTCCTCTGAGCCAAGAGGCTTCAGGTCTCGATGTAATCCTTTCCAAATCTTTGCAGGCAACACTAACTCTCCCTCCAGCTACTTTTTTTTGAGAACCAGCGACCTACATATCTTGCCAGGACAGCAAGCTAAAAACCTGCCATTGCCCAAGCTGAGGGATGCTGGTTTTTTAAAAGCCCAGAAATCACATGAGCTGCATTCTCTGCAGTTGGTATAAGCATGGCAGGATATTTACAGACAGCAAAATGCTTATTTTTATGAAATTCCCAGTGCTTTGGTAGGCTACTGCTAACTGCCAAGCCATGTCCATAAACCTCCTAGAAGTACTGCCCTCCGGCATCCCACCTAACCCTTCCCCCCCAGCTTCTCTGCCTCTTACTCCTAATTAGTTTAAGGTACCTCTGCTTCCCTTTGGGAGGGGAAAAGGCTGTAAAGTGAGGGGAAAAAAAAGTCCTTTAAAGGAAGCATTAAAAACCACTCTGTGAGCAGGCAAGGCATGCATTCATAAAGAGGTGGGCCATGATCTCCTCCCACGGAAGATGGGCCCCCAGTGTAGGCAGGATGCTGGAGGCTAACTGGGGGCAGGCCTTTGAGCTGTTGTAGGAGCACAGAAGCTGCTGCAGCCTTGGCTGGGCGAGCACATCGCTCCAAGAAGGGCAGCCTGGCTGCAGGTAGATGGGGCACAGATTTGCAGCTACTCTCCCACCTCCAAACCTCAACTAAGAGCAGAAATTTCACATGCTTCAGTTAAAAAAACACCCAAACAAAACAAGAATAACAATCAAGTATCAGCACACCAATACCTGGAGCACCCTGCCAAGCGATGCTTGGGCAGCAAAGCGCGCTGGGAACAGGCAGACACTGCAGGCACATCTACCAGCGCCACGTCTTTCTGTGCCCCAGTCCCTGCTGGTAAGGCACATCAATAAAACATTTAATTTCAGAAAGTTTAGCTCGCCGGGGCTCTGACACTTCTGATGAAGGTTGCGCAAAATACTGACACTCCAATATTTCATAAACTGAGATGGAAAAATCATCTCTAAATTATACAGACAATGAAGGGAGACAAAAACCAAACAGCTCCACGAGCACCAGAATTAATAAAGTTATTTTCCTATGGACTTGCATCTCATGATTTGCTCCCTGGCGCCTCGCACTGTGAGGTCCCCAACAGGAGCCCTCCCTGGCCGGGGTCGTGCTGACAGCAGTGGCTCTCATGTGGATTCTCTGATGTCTTATAAGGAGTGAGCTTGTGTTGCAGCTTTGCTCCCAGTGGAGACGGTACCAGGCAGATGGATGCAGCTCTATGCTTAAGGCATTAAGCATTTAGCATCAGACACCACTGTTCCCCATCCAGCCCTGTCCCAACATCACCGGAGCAGCCTGAAACCAGCCAGTGAATTCAAAAGCTGATGTTGGTCTGAGCACAAGAGAGGAGGGGGATGCTGTATGACAAATACAAGATGCTCAAGAGATATAGCCTGGGAGCTGTCAGGTCTCTGGGTCAAAATCAAAGAAAGCCCTCTTATGAGGTACATGGGATGGCCTGGGGTTTGGGGATTTTATTTGAAACGGGTAACCAGCATTAGATGTTCCCTCACCTTCTTTATTTTAATCACATTTTAACCTAAGGACCTCAACAGCTTGTAAACGTTTCACTTTACATAAACAAAAGCTGTCCCCAACTATCACAACCGGGTACTAACTACCATTTGTCAACCTATGGCCAAATAAATCTTTTCTCTAGTTTTACAACCTAAAGTGGTTTGAAACATCAAAAGCTCAGGCCACTCCAAGAATTTTAAGTATAGTTACAACGGTTTGACTTTAAAAACCTTTCTGAAAATGTATTCACTCTTTGCCATGATACCCGCAGGCCAGCTTCTACTAAAAACCCAACATCCTCAGGAAAGACATCCCCACTTCTGGCTTAGAGGGGCAGGAATATGCCAGACATTGTGGCTCGGTCTAGGAGTAAGGAAGATGCACGTGTGGTTTTGGGCTCTCAAGGCATAAAAACTAAAGGTGGGGTCCCTAGGGTGTTTTGAGCAGGAGTTATTGCAAAGCCTCCTTTGAAAGGCTCATGGATTGTATTTTAAACATGACCATGACCCATGCTCATGACCCTAAGCTCACCCTAGCTGGGAACCCTCCCTAAACTCACTGCTGGCAGAGGCAGGGCCAAGGAGCCTCAGGCAAGCCAGTCTCTCCAGCACACTGATGGGGCAGCTCCTGCAGAGTGAGGCAGGAGAAAGCATCCCACAGGCCATGCCCTGCCCAGCCTCTGCAGGGGGAAGCACACTAATGGAAGACACTGAAATACATCATCTACCAACCTCAAAAACACCTCCACGTAACCAAGAGGCTAACCTGCTCCCATGCATTAAAATAAATTTTGTAACCCAGACATCAGCACGACAGTGGAAGGAAGGAGGACTGCAGGCAGCACAGGGAAAGCTGCTTTCCCTAGCTCACTGCATTAATCTGCTTCTGCTTTCTTCTCCTGGGAATGTTCCATGGAAAGAACGATGCAAACAAAGTCTGAACACTGGGAGCTATTGATACCTGCTGCTAAGTGTGGTTTCTGAGGAAAGCGAGGAAATCTGAAGAATTTTTCCAGTTTCCAGTGGAATTTTTATGCCTATCACAGTCCATTGCCACAGCAAGCACAAGAGAACTGCTTCTGATTTCTCTTCTACTTCACCCATATTTCATGACGTGCCACGGTTTTATTTTTTTTGCCTGCTGTGTTCTTACCTTGGAAAGAAGCTTCACTCGTATTCACGGCAACCCTGGAAAGCCTTTGCCTTTTTAAGCTGACTACTTTCCATCGCACAGAAAAATAAATCCAAATGCCCTAAGGCAGCCAAAGCCATTTATCAGGCTAAGTGGAAACCGTAAATTCATGCTAACTGGAATCTGATGGAAACCAATTGGGATCCTCCTCCTCCTCCTCCAGGCTCAGGTCTGGCAGGAAAGTCAAACATTTTATTGCCTTCTTTATGCCTTACTTACAAGTCAGTGGAGCCAAGAAGGGACTGTTCCCTTTGAAGCGATGCTGGTGGGGTTACAGGAAAGGCTCACTGATTTGAGTTCAAGCTCAACAGACAGAGGTATCGCCCCCAAACAGAGATTAGACCTCTCCATTCCCACCAAATTTATCACATTTAACAAACATCCTCTTTTCAATACATCCATTATTTAAATTAGCACATGGTAGATTATGTTAACAAGCTTAATTTGTTGAGTAAATCTAAACATATTGCCTCCTTCAGGAGTGAACCTGAGCAGTTTTTGGCTTTTGTGTCATTTCAGTATTACCCAGAGAGGGGACAAAATGTATTAAAAGTTGGCCTTAGCTGAGCTAGCAGCATTTACACTCAGAACAACTATGAACAGTCATTGCAAAAAAAAAAAAGTAGGAGCAAAGGCGCAAAAAGGTATTAAACACAACCTAAACAAGTTACTGAAACTTCTGGTTCCTGATTCAGGGCTGGGGGTCAGGATGATGGGACACCTAAGTAAAAGCTACCTTATTCTGGCTATGGGATCACATATGTAAAGAAAAAACACCCAGGAACCGATGTCTTATCCAAAAAATCTCCACCAAAACAACACACCAATTCCTGAATTTAACACCCTTGCTCTGATTAGAAATCCAAGTCTCTATAGCTGTCACGGGTATTTAAAACAAACACAGAAATATGGAAAAAATGAGTAATCGTATTTGGAGAGAGTAAAATCTAGCCTGCAGAGGATTAAGTCTAGTCCAACTGCAGCTTGACAACATTTTCCAGATCAATAGCAGCACCATTTGATTACATAAAGTTGTTAAAATACGTGCACCCACTCCCCTCCAACTGCAATTTTGGTGACTTGTTTTTAATTGCCCAGCACCCCAGGTGGAGGACCAGGAGCATTTCTGGTTACAGAAGCTGTACTGATAG